TGTGAGTCCCGGTTGCTGCCACTGCACAATCTGCAAGCCAGGGACAGTTTGAATTCTGGTTTGCAGGAGCCGCGGGGGTGGTGGGGGTTAGAGAGGTAGATTCCTGGGCCCAACCGCTGAGGCCTGAGCCCAGCGTCCTGTGGGGTACGTGCTGAGAAGCACTGCTCCCATGGCATCTTGCCTATCCCAGTGTGACCCCATGGCGGCACTTCTCACCGGGCTCACCTCCACCAGCCTGCCTTGGCTTGAGTGTGCCATCGGCCGAGCCTTCCACCACACCCAAGCCTCCCTACCCCTGGGGCGAGCTACTCTGGAGACTGCCTCCTGTGCCCACTGGGGGACCTGCCTTCGAACCAAGGCTGGGTGGGAGAGAGAGCTCCTCCCGGCCACTCTCTGCCCTTGCCACTTCCAAGGTTCTGGGCGGAGCTCCCTGGTACCAGAAGCTGTAGCTGCCCTGTGTTCAGGTGCTCCATGCGTTGTCCCTTCCCCCCCACCCTACCCCACCCCCACCCCGGTGTGAGGACTGCTGCACTGCAGCCAAGCTGGCAGCACTAGGCTTTAAGGGCGGATTTTACATCATTCTAAAATGCTGGCGTGGACGCTAATACTCTGTGTGTGCCTTATTCCTGACCTGCGAAAACACGCGCAAAACAGTATTTCGTGTCATTCAAGATCCTCCAGTAGAAGCATTAAAATGACACAAATTGCTAAAATGCAAACAGTACTCAGATGCCCTTCCAATGCAAATGACTAGCAGATACAACTTAACCGAAATCAAGTCTTCACCTGTCACAGTCTAATGTGACAATGTGACATGGTCTCCCGATGGGATCCTGGAACTGGAAAAAGATCAGGGAAATGAGTTCAGTGGTGACGTTAGTTAATAACCACAGGAGCAAGACCAGGCTGTTTGCTCTTGTCAAAATGTACAGGCTCAGAAACCCCAAAGGGGGAGTCCCACTGTCCTACAGGGTTGGACTCTATAGACGGCAGTGAGTCAGGTGGTGGTGGTGGTGGTGGGTGTTCATGATAAAACGCCAGTACTAGTTCATGAGTTCTAACCCGTGTACCTTACTCCTGCAAAAATAGTAGTAAGAGAAGAAACTGAGGATGGACTATCTGAGAATTCGCTGAATGGTTTTTGTTAATTTTTCTGTCAGTGAACATTATTGTCCAAGTGAAAATGTATCTCGAAATCATCTTATTCACAATGCACCAGTGGAACAGCCCCACCATGAAGAAAGCTGTGAGCATCACTAAGAAGTGCAAGCCTCGCCCTGTTACCAGCCGGAAAGGAGACCAGCAGTGTCCCCCGCAGCGCCTGCCTTGCTGCGCCAACTCTTCCAGCCGATGACAAGCCCGTTTGGACTTTGGTTGGGTGGTTATTTTTTTTCTTCCGCGGATATTTTCATCATCAATTTAATAGTGGAGTCACTGATCCTGATCTCAATACACAAAGGATACAGATGTTTAACGTATTTAAAAAATGAAGATTAAACACATGGAGAGTGCCGCACGTCAGTCATTGCCAGAACACCCAAAGCTCATATTGTCCTCAGTGTTTGGAACTCCTTTCTCGGTGGAGACAGGACAGGAGGGAGGGCGAAGGGTCGCTGATGGGGAAGGCAGGAGGCCGTTAGGCAATTCCCCTGAGCCCGTTGTAGCCAAGGCTCTTCTGGATGTCCATGACACACATACTCAAACTCGCTTAGACCGCGAGAGAATTTACTGGAAGATACTGCGTATCTCACTGGCTCGTGGTGTCTAATGCAGGGAGGGCAGAAGGACACCGAGGTCCCCAGTACAAGTAGAACCAGACTTTCCAGATTCTGCCTCCATCCACACAGAGATGGCCAGGGTCGCAGATGGTATGGCACCATCCTAGAAAAAAACCGGTCTGTGATCTCTCCAGTGCCCAGTTCAAAGACCTCACAGAAAGACTCTGGTTAGGCCCCTGGGCCAATCGCCCCAGAGAGCATACATCTGGCCCCTGCAGATTCACCCAGGTGTACTGGGAACTAGACACAGAGAGGGGGCGTTGACACGAGCTAAGAAACCATTTCAATTTTCTTTCTTAGACAACAGCGTGGCTGGTGCCTAGTCTAAGAGGGAAGAGCATTCCTGGCATTCACTGTTGAGGAGAGGACCCAGCTTTCAGAGCAGGAACCCAATATAGGGGACATTGGGAGCTACACATGTCCCCTTCCCTGCCTTATGTCCCCTAGGCCTAATTCAAATCATCACACATGATGGCGCACCCTAATCCACATGATGGCCACGCAGTGCGATCTTGTTTCTCTTGTGCCTGACCTCAGCCGAAGGCTCCAGAGTGGTGAGTGTCTCTGCTGGTTGGCCAACTTGGTTTCTTCCATCAAAGACGTCAGGGCTGAGGGAGCCTAGGAGGCAGCAGTGCTTTGAGAGGCTGGGGGAGTGTGTACGCCTCAGTGGCTAATGGCAGGCGTGTTTCCCACCACCCGGCCTAAAAGCAGAGGCAGCTGGTGAGCAGCACGGGAAGAAAACAGACTGGGAGAAGAGCAAGAAGGAAGCCGGAGCAGCCCCGACAGCACTTGGTTTCTGGTCAGTCTCGTGCACAAGGTTGCCAACCTTTGGGTCCTGTGAGGTCACCCTGTATCCTTCCAAGAAATCTGTGGGTATGAGCCAGCTGGAGTCGTTTTCTTTTATTTGAAACCAAAACATCCCTAACTGTTCCCAGCGGAAGAGCTCAGGACAGAGTTCTCGGTCACGTCAACATGTACTGGGGCCCCAGAGGAAAGCATCTGCAAAGGAGACTCCGAAAATTGTTCTTCCACCGAACGAAAGCAGTGGAAGACAGAAGAGGGCAACGTTGCCATCTTCCTTTCTGATACCCTGGCCTCTGCGGTACCCTCTGGCTGTTCGCCAGCTCCAGACTCCACCCCACCCCCCCTTAGCACTCACTCCCAAAGAGCACACTGCCTCAGCTCTCTCACCGAGCAGTTGGTTTGAACCCCAGACCTTATGGTTGGCCCCCCAGAGCTTAACCCCTGTGTCCCACGAGGCGTCCTCATCAAGAGATGACCAGGACTCATCCCCAGCCAAACCCAGCGGCTTTCCTCAGCCTTCTCCACACGCGTGCCTGATGGGATTGCACTTCTACCCAGCTGTTGAAACCCTCCTTACCCCCCGCCCCCGTTGTACTTTCCTGGGGTTGCCACCACCAAGCATCACGCGGTGGGTGGCCTAGTAGAACCAGATGTGTTGTCTCTCCGTTCTGGAGATTAGACATCCAAGCAGTGTGTCCCTGGTGTCCACTCCTGAAGGCCTCAGAGGAGCCACTGCCCCACGCCTCTCGGGTTCCAGTGACTCTTGGCACTCAGTGGGATCACCTTTCTGCTCTTCACTGTATCGCCCAAAGGTGTCTTCTCCTTGTGTCTCCCTCCATCTGCTCTTCCCATTTAATCCCTTGTAAAGGGATTCGGACTAGGACCCATGCTTCTCTGTCTGACCAAACCGACGATATCAACCAAAGAAAGACTCGATTTCCCCACAGGCACCTTTGAAGGTATGGGGTGAGGACCTCAGCATATCCTTTGGAGAGCCATGATGTCACTGTGGTTGGTTGGTTGGTCTTGATACGGTGGCTCTTCTGTGCCCTTTCCCTCCATTGTCTTTCCCTGTTTCAGCCCCTGCAGCATCCCATACAGCTTGCTATTCTCCAACGCCCTATAATCAGCCCATCTTCTTGGTCAACACATTCCCCCAGGATGAGCTCATCCACTCCCAAGATTTTCGCTGTCACCTTGATGGGTATAATGGCACACCATCTTAATCTTGAGTCTCAGTTCCTCTGCTCAGTTCCTGCCCTCTGTTTTCATTCGCCTGGGGGACGACATCTCCCCCAGGTGCAAATTCACCCGGGGTTAAAGGCAGGTTCATTGTTGTTTCCATCCTCTGTTTTCTATTTCTGTTCAGGGTAACCCCACCACCACCCCCTGAGCTGTCAGCAAAATTCTTTTCAACTCTCCCCATCTTCCTGACCCCAGACATTAACCCGTCACTGAATCCCTTTCAGATGTTGGTGTCTGTAAACACTTTCATAAAATGATTTCCACTCCGTCTTGCCTTCGTGCCCAGCTTCATGTCTCCTTTTCCATCCTTCCACCTAGTCTTCTGTTCTTCTAGTTATTCCTAGAGCGACGAGGAAAGGATGTTCAGACAAGTAAA